TATGCTCAAACAGCAACATTACAGACTAACTAAAGTTGAAAAAGTGAAAAAGCATAATAGGACCCCTTTAAAAAACCTTACACTATTACATATGCAAAAATGTATGTCTTTTTTATTTATTCAGTCATTCATTCATTTAGTTATTTTAGTTGCAGTACAAGAAGAAAATCCATCACAATTACATTTCATTACCATCATGGTATGGTTAATAAAAACACAATTACACATTATAAAAAAAATCATGTCTTTCTTTTTCTTTCTTTCTTTTTTGTTACAATACAAGAAAAAATGCATTACTATCACATTTCTTTACCATCATTACGCAAAAATTCATGTCTTTATTTATACTAATAACACATAAAAAATTACATTACCATCACATTGCATTACCATCAAGCATTTTTTGTATTGCAATACAAGAAAAAAGAACATTATGCAAAAATCCACTTGAACATTGATCAAGGCCTTGATGTGACAGTTTTACGTTCTTGAAATGTTTGAAAGAAATCATTTGTTTCAAGATTTCAAAAGTGCTTCTAATTGAGTAATCACCCGGCTATGGTTCATTTCTCACTGTATGTCTCTAGGATGATAGAGGAGAGACGGAAGGGGAATGTCATGGCCGACAGGAAGCAGATCTTCACGGATATGAGTGAGTGCCGCCCATCCACCACATGACCTTTGACCCCTATTGCATGTGCGTCTGAATATAATTGTGTGACTTTGATTCTTCAGAGACGCAGAATTATGACACCATCCGGCTGTCCACGTACCGCACCGCCTGCAAGCTCAGATTCATTCAGAAGAAATGCAACCGTGAGTATCAGTCACTTTAAAACACAACTGACTAATGTTGCAAAAGATGCATTTTCAGTGTTGTTTACGAGTTCAAAAATAAGCTCAGCATAAAGAAAAACTAGTAAGAAACATGTAACAAGATAAGCCAGAAATACACTATTGTTCAAAAGTTGGGCGTCAGTAAGATTTTTTTTAGTTTTCTTAAGCAAGGATGCATAAAATTGATCAAAAGTGACAGTAAAGACATTTATAATGTTACAAAAAATGTATATTTAAAATAAATGCTGTTCTTTTGAAGTTTCTATTCATCAAAGAACCCTAAAAAAAATCCCGTTAATCAGCACAAGTTTTTCAACATTGATAATAATAAGAAATATTTCCTGAGCAGCAAATTGGCATATCAGAATGATTTCTGAAGGATCATGTGACACTGAAGACTGGAGTAATGATGCTGAAAATTCAGCTTTGATCACAGGAATAAATTACATTTTAAAATATATTCACATAGAACACAGTTATTTTAAATGGTAATAATATTTCACAATATTACTGTTTTTATTACTTGCAATATTACTTGTTTTTATTCACAATATTACTAGGGCTGCACGATAAATCGCATGCGATATTTAACGCGCATCTTATCAGTAAAGCCGGTTCTGTAATCAGCGGTAAATCTCCATCATCTGCGTGCTTTCATATTGAGCAGCATTAACTACACAGAGCCGTTGTTCACTGACGAGCTGCGCAAAAAATCGCGCGAATATGAACGTGGGTTTGCGCAGCTCATCATGATGGAGATTTACCGCTGATTACAGAACCGGCTTTACTGATAAGATGCGCGTTAAATATTGCATGCGATTTATCGTGCAGCCCTAAATATTACTGTATTTTTGATCAAATAAATGCGGCCTTGGTGAGCACAAGACTTCTTTCATAAACATTAAAAGTCTTACTGACCCCAACATTTTTGAACGGTAATGTACATTAAAAATGACACTGGGTTCCAATTTCAAGTTTAAAAGTAAGTTCTTCGTTCCACATGTTTATTTTCATCATATTTGGAGTAATCTGGACTGACATGGTAAGTTTTATTCCCATGTAATTCCCTATATTTCATGTGTTTTCTCTCTCAGTGCATCTGGTGGACGTGTGGAACATGATCGAGGCGTTCCGTGACAACGGTCTGAACACGCTGGACGTCTGTACTGAGATCAGCATGGCTCGGCTGGAGACCATCATCACCTGCATCTACCAGCAGCTAAACAAACGGCTGCCCACCACACACCAGATCAACGTCCAGCACAACACCAGCCTGCTGCTCAACTTCATGGTGGCGGCACACAACAGGTGAAAGTGTGTGTGCTGTGTTTGCGAAATTTGGTCGAACTGATCGAAAAGAGACATTAAAGACATTTAGAATGTTACAAAAGATTTCTATTTCAAATAAATGCTGTTCTTATGAACTGTCTATTCATTAAAGAATTCAGAAAAAATGTGTCATGGTTTCCACAGAAATATGAAGCAGCACAACTGTTTTTAACATTGATAATGATAATACATTCGTGGGTTCAATTCCCAGGGAACACACATACTGATAAAAAATGTATAGCCTGAATGCACTGTAAGTCGCTTTGGATAAAAGCGTCTGCTAAATGCATAAATTTAATTTTAATTTAAATGTTTCTTGATCAGCAAATCATCATCAGTTCATTTGACGGTGGAACTGTGTGTGTTTTGCAGTGATGCTCAGGGAAGGCTGATGGTGTTTTCAGTGAAAGTGATGCTCTCAGTGCTGTGTGGAGGGAAACTGGTTGATAAACTTCGCTGTAAGTTCATTCATCGATTTCAGCAGTGTCGCCCACTAGTAGACAAATCAAATGAAGTCGTCACCTTTATTTATTTAGTGCTTTATACAATACAAATTGTTTCAAAGCAGCTTCACAGTAATATAGACATGAAAATAACAGAATCAATGATGCAAATTTCTTCAGATCTTCTTCAGATATGAGACAAATTCAAGTTCTGCTCTACAGAAGACAATAGTGTCATTATTCAGCTCAGGGATGATGATGATTATATGCATATCAATACTCATTAACGTGTATCTTTGCCTATATAACACCTGTGTTTGTGTGTGTGTTAGATATTTTCTCTCAGATATCAGATACTCATGGTGCGATGGTGATGTCCAAGTTTGACCACTTCCTGCAGGAGGTGCTGAAGCTGCCCACTGCCGTGTTTGAGGGGCCGTCGTTCGGTTACATGCATCACTTCGCCAGATCCTGCTTTCCTCAACAAGTAACAGTTTCACACACGTTTCCACTCTTTGTCTTGTTAGTGGTGTTTGCTAAACCTTACTATGATTGCTTATGTAGGGTTAGTGATCTGGACAAACCCAGAACATTGACTGTTAGACTGCATGACTGATCATTTGTGCTACAAAATTAATAATGAAGTAATAATGCTTCAAATCATGCAGCCTGATGAAGTGATCAAACTTGCAGTTTTAACCTGGTGCAGGGTTCTCAATTATGGAAAAATCATAATCACAATTATTTTGGTCACTATAAAGATCACAGTTATTTAAACCAATCGCTCATTGATTTTGGAAAGCCAGATCATGCATTTATTGAACTTGAACTGAACTTGATTTTTTTAATTGTCTTTGTAACAGTCGGTTTCCTTGAACTTGAATTTCAGTTATAATTTAACTGAAAAACAAATTTTAAAACTGTATAAAAATTAGATAAAAATACATTAAACAAGTCCTAAACGCTTAGAATACCTTAGCAGCAACGTAGCAACAGCATAGTAGTGTCCTAAACACTCAGAATACCATAGCAACACCCTAGCAACCACATAGCAACAGCACAGCAGGGCCCTAAACTCTCAGAATACCTTAGCAACCACATAGCAACAACATAGCAGTGCCCAAACTCTCAGAATACCTTAGCAACAGCATAACAGTGTCCAAAACACTGGGAATACCATAGCAACAACCTAACATTTTCAACATCTCGCTAAGCCAGGCTGTTGTCCCCACATGCTTCAAAGCTACCACCATCATTCCAGTCCCAAAGAAGTCTTCTCCATCCTGCTTCAATGACTACCGTCCAGTTGCACTTACCCCCATCCTCATGAAGTGCTTTGAACGGCTAGTCATGCACCAAATCAAGTCTGCCCTCCCCCCCTCCCTGGACCCCTTCCAGTTTGCATATCGGTCCAACCGCTCGACCGATGATGCCATCGCCACTACCCTCCACTCAGCACTCACACACCTGGACAAAAAAGACTCATACGTCAGAATGCTGTTCATAGACTTCAGTTCAGCATCACACACACACACACACACATATATATATATATATATATATATATACAGTATATATATATATATATACACATATATAAAACAGTGCACTAAAAACAGTCATAATTTAGTTATGTCACTTTCCATCATCTATGAACATGGAAAACCAGGAAATATCAAGGATTTTTTTAAGGCAATTAATAAAAAAGAATTAAATCATGGGAGTTAATTAAATTATAAAAGTTTTCTTTAGCAAATTTACATTTCTACACTACCATTCAAAGGTTTGGGTTCGGTAGGATTTTTAAAAAGTCTTAAAAGCTCACCAAGCCTGCATTTGTTTGATTAAAAATACAGTAAAAGTAATATTGTGAAATATGATTATGATTTAAAAGAACAGTTTTCTATTTCAGTATATCTTAAACTGTTATTTATTCCTGTGATGTAAAGCTGAATTTTCAGCATCATTACTCCAGTCTTCAGTGTCACACGATTCTTCAGAAATCATTCTAATATGCTGATTTGCTGCTCAAGAAACATTGCTTATTATTATCAATGTTGACAATATTTGTGCTGCTTAATATTTTTGTGAAATATTTTTTGTAGCATTATAAATGTATTTACTGCCACTTTTGATCAATTTAATGCATCCTTGCTGAAAAAATAGTGAATTTATTTAAAAAAAAAAAATCTGACTAACCCCAAACTTTTATGGTTGTTTTAATGTTTTCATGGTACTTTATATAGTGCAGGTTTCCCACAGGCTGGAAAACCAATTGAAATTTCTATACTAAGTCTGCATTTCTTTATGCAAATGGATCTGTTAATTAATCCAAAAACAGTGAAACAAGATACAAGTGGAAACGTTTCATGTCTTTTGGTTTTCAGTTTTGGTTCCTTATTTGTGTGTGTTTGTTCCAGAAATTACATGTGGAAGAATTGACAATAAAGCAGACTTGACTTGACTTGACTTGACTAGCAAGTCCAAAACGCTCAGAATACCTTAGCAGCCATGTAGCAATAGCATAGTAGTGTCCTAAACACTCAGAATTCCATAGCAACACCCAAGCAACAGCATAACAGTGTCCAAAACACTGAGAAATACCTTAGCAACCACATAGCAACACCCTAGCAACAGCATAGCAGTTCCCAAAACACTGAGAATACCTTAGCAACCACATAGCAACAGCATAGCAGTGTCCAAAATGCTCAGAATACCATAGCAACCACATAGCAACAGCATAACAGTGCTTTAAACACTCAGAATATCTTAGCAACTACACAGCAACCGCATAGCAGTGTCCAAAATGCCCAGAATACCTTAGCAACCATATAGCAAAACCCTTGACTAGTAACAGCAGGTTTTGCACAAGGAAAGCACCATTCATGTTTTTGTCAGAAAATGCAGAATGTGTAAATGTGCCATAGTTCTGTCATCAATGTCTTTTTGAGTCTGTGTGTGTGTGTGTGTGTGCGTTTAACAGAAGAAGGTGATGCTGAACATGTTTCTGGATACTCTGATGTCAGATTCTCCTCCTCAGTGTCTCATTTGGCTTCCTCTGCTGCAACGGCTAGCAAACGTGGAGAAAGGCAACACACACACTGAATAATATACGCTTAAATGATTCATATTACTCAGACTCATTTATGCTGGCATGACAGAGCTAGAATCTGCACAATTCCCTAACATTTAATACATTTTTTTAGTTTAATATTCATATATTCCAACACACTGAATCTCTCTCTTTCTCAGTCCATCATCCGGTGGTGTGTTCTTTCTGTCGGTCGGAGAGCATGATGGGATTCCGTGTGCCGAGCAGAGAGCCATCCCACCCCATCTACCCAGAATACCCCGAGAAACCCCTCAACCTGTCCAATATAGTGTAAGACAGTCTCTCACACACACACACACACACACACACACACACACACAGTCCTCTGTCTGTTGGGATTGTTTCTATTGGTTCCCAGCATCACATGATCACATTGTCTTTGTGGACACACTGATGAGGGTCAGACACGATCACTTGACAGAGACAGACAGACAGAGACAGACAGACGGAGGAGTTTGCTTTTATTATCTGCTTACAGACGTGAGGTCAGTTAAGATTTTGTCTTCATTCTGCTGTCTGTATGTCTTGATCTGTCTGTTTTCCCAGGAATCCCACTCTCGTCTCTCTCTGTTCTGTCTGTGTTGCTTCAGTCTCTTAGTTTTGCATGACTGACCGGTGTGTGTGTGTCTTTGGGTCAGTTGAACAGTGTAATGTTTAATTTATTCTGAATGCATGGGGGTGTGTGTGTGTGTGTGTGTGAGAGAGAGAGAGAGAGAGAGAGAGAAAGTATGTATAGATTGTTTTCAAGGTGTCTATGAACTTTTATTTACATCAATCAAGATTTCAGGTTAAAGTGTACATGAACGTGTAATGGAAAGTGACTGTCTGTGTTATGACTAGTTAATATTTCTTTGATGCTTTTCTCAATATGCTTTTATCACCTTTTAGTTGTTTTGTAGTTCACTACAGTGAGACAAATTAAATACAAATGAAATATAATGACAAATTTTTAAAATGGCAGATATTCCCTGTTTCTCAATAAATGTGAAGCTATGCATGAACAATGATGAAAAACTTCAAAATGTTGGTTAATATAGTTATAGACATGTATTATCTAATATTACAAATAGAGATCGACCGATATATCGATTTACAGATATTTTTCCCGATATTTAAGCATTTTACAATAATCGGATATCGGTTTGCTCCAGCACGGCCACAGCATGTAACTTTTAACAAGATTCACTTGTTTAAAACACCCTAAATTGTATTAACATTTACTATATAACCATTATTTCGCTAATAAACATCTAAATAGATACAACTCTATGGAAATTAATTATTTATTATCTCCACGAGCGATCGCAGTTTGAATATAGTTCTGTGTAAATGCATAGATAAACTGCGCTGTCAGCAGGCATTTCATAATCTAGAACGACAAAACCATTATTAGTAATTCTGATATAACATGCCAGTTGAGAAATGCAATAAAATACGATGTTTTGTTGGTTATATTTCAATATTCCAGAGAATATTATTCACATATTCAGTGAATTAACATTATCCAGTGAATTATTCTTCACTCTTTAGCCTATTAAACATCTTATAAACCTACTAAAACTGTAGTTTAAAATGAAGTTGATATGACTCCTTTCCTTTATTTATTTTCTCCATTTGAAAACATTAGACCGTCTACATTTATTTTGCTTATTGTTAATATTAGTGTTGCTGCTGATGCTTTAAATAAAATGTTTTTTTTATTGTTGTAATATGAAGATTAAATTTAACATGAAAGACTTCATGTCTTTTTCAACACTTTTTTTAAGATGACTGAAAGGAGGAAAAACCAAAGTGAAGTATGGACTTACTTCACTCAGTCATTTATTTACTTTATAACAGTAAATAAATATCGGTTCTGCATATCGGTTATCGGGCACATAAACATGCAAATAATTGGTATCGGTATCGGTTATAAAATATCAATATCGGTCAATCACTAATTACGAAATACTACTTAATATTAAATTATGTAGGTATTACATATTACACAGCCCTGCATCTTGAAAAAAAATTTGCTGATTTGCAAAAATATTACTAATGTTAATATTACTGAATATTTCATAATTTGCTGGTGCCAAGTTCAATTAAATCTTGCTATCGCATCGTTTTTTTTCTTTCTTTTTTCTTTTCTTTCTAAGAATGAAAAATCTTCATTCTCATTTTGTAAAAAAGATTGTAATGGAAATTTTGAATTGATATATTTGACCTCAGCATCATTTAATTAATTAATATTTAGTATATATGTGTGTTTGTATCAGCAACACAAATCAGACAAATTATCATAAGCAGTCAAATGTCAAACGTTTCTATTTTAATGACAAAAAGAACCATTCGAAATGTATCATCTAACCTGCACTTTGCAAAGGAGTGAAAAAAATTGAACAAAGGCTGAGAATTGAACAGATATTTGTAACCTGGCTTAGGAATGATGTCTTTATGTCTTTATAGTGTTTTTTTCTGGTGATTAAGGGATAATACAAAACTTGTTCACCTTACAAATGGTTGTGGAAAGCAAAAAAGCTACTAAATTCATCATATTTTGTGAGAAAGTGCGACATACTCAAGCAAAATACTATTTTTGAAATCAGCACCTCAAAATTGGTGAAAAACAAGTATTGGCTTGCAAATATGATACAGGGTGGTGTTGTTTTGTTACATATAGATAACCATTTTATTGTGTCTTTTTTTTCCTCTAGTCCTCCCCGTCCAATAGGAAACATGAATGAACCAGTTCTGCCCCCGTCTGCAGGCCCCAGCCCCACTAAGAGGTGAGCACCTGCTCTTCACCTTTGACCTTTCAGATGAGTCCGTTTATAGTGCTTTATGTGTGAGAAGTTTTATTTAATCTGTCTGTTACGATACTCATAAATTTAGAGCTAGAACATTTAGCTAAAACTTTTATCATTTCTACTACACACATATTTCAAAGTAATTTTAACAATATCATACTGTACATCATGTTGTGATGCCTGTAATCATGTTGTAAAATGTTTTAAAAATACAAACTATTTATTTTAATATTTAGTGTATTTTATCTTTTTTTAATTTTTTTTTTATAAATCTATTTTAGATTTATAATATCAGCCATCTATTGGTTATTGGGAGCATGAATATAATTAATTATAAGTTTAATATCAGGGCTTCCAGGGTCCAAAACTATCATTTTACCACACCTGCTAATAGCTGGTGAAAAATTACCAGCCATAAATATTTTTTACAGGCCATGAAACTTAACCTTTTTTTTTTTAAATAATAATAAAACAAAACGCAGTGACTGCTATTACTACTTAGGGCTGAATGATGAGGAAACAACTAAAAATTGTGCTTGCAATTTTTGAAAACTCTCTGATACGTGAATTAATTATTCACAAGGAAAACGAAATGTTTAATTTCACTTCTCAACAGCACTGTAATAATTTGCTGGTAACACTTTACAATAAGGTTCATTAGTTAACGTTAGTTAACTACTTTAGTCAACATGAACAATACTACTACAGCATTTATTACAGCATTAATGTTATTTTAGCATTTACTAATGCATTATTAAAATAAAAAGTTGTGCTTGTTAACATTAGTTAATGCACTGTGAATTAACATGAAATAACAATGAACGACTGTATTTTCATTAACTAACATTAACAAAGATGAATAGATACTGTAATAAATGCATTGTTCATTGTTTGTTCATGTTAGTCAATACATTAACTAACATTAACTAATGGAACCTTATTGTAAAGTGTTACCATTTTACTAGGGCTGCACGATAAATCGCATGCGATATTTAACGCGCATCTTGTCAGAAAGCCGGTTCTGTAATCAGCGGTAAATCTCCATCACCTGCGTGCTTTCCCATTGAGCAGCATTAACTACACAGAGCAGTTGTTCACTGATGAGCTGCGCAAAAAATAGCGCGAATATGAACGTGGTTTAGCGCAGCTCGTCAGTGAACAACGGCTCTGTGTAGTTAATGCTGCTCAATATGAAAGCCCGCAGGTGATGGAGATTTACCGCTGATTACAGAACCGGCTTTACTGATAAGATGCGCGTTAAATAT